TTACTAAGTTAATGTAGCTCATCGTTTGATTAACTATTTCAGATCAAGAGAACCAATACTCAAATCTTGATCAATAAGAAGGTTGTGAATGGTTCACGACCCGGACTTATTCAAAAGCTAGTGAAAGTTGTTCTAAAATGCTCAGTTATTTACTTTTCGTTTATTTTTTTTATTTTCGTTTGTTTTTTTAAAATAAATATTTTCATATTTTTATTGGGTATTTTAAATTATTGTGTAAGAAATGTAAACATTCAATTCATATTTTTATTTTTTTTTAAGTTTTAAACATTTATAATTTGGTGATAAAAAATAAAATAAAATAATTTAATTTTTTAATATATATATATATATATATATATATATATATATACAGGTTGATATCATAATAAATAATTGGGCAGATAACAATTTCCAAAGCCTTTTCATTCAATGCCTACACTGCAACTTGTGGAAGCACCCATTAATGCATATTATTCTTTATTTTCTTTTTCAAATAATATATTCCAATAATTAATTTATCCATATATATACATATATCATATAATTATAATTCCAGTAAAATATATATATATATAAATGTATACTCTAACTTAAATATACAATCTCACGAATAACACATATTATAACAAACGTCAAAATTTTTGAATTAATTTAAAAATTTTATCTTAAATTTATAAAAAAATAATAATTTTTTAAACAATTGATAAAACAATATAAACTTTTTTTAATTCTGATGATCTTAGAAATTCATAAAATTAACATATAATTTACAAATAAACATAATTTCTCTAAATTCAATATACAATAACAGCGTATACAATCATATTAATAAATAATAAATTATATAAAAATATTTACAGTATAAATATATCTCGTAAAATTATATAAAAATATTTACGATACAAATATCTTTTATAAAAATTTATTAAAAATTTTTTAAAAATAAATCAATTTTTTTTTTAAACATAAATTAGATAACCACTTTACTTTTTTAAATTTTAGACAGTAACTGTTCGATAATTATCACTATTAATAATTAATTAATTATTAATCTAAATCGAGTCGAGTCCTGTCACGAGTGATCCACCCAATTAAATTCAAGAGATACCAAATAAAATAATTAACCGAATTGATTATTTTAAAAAACTTAAAATTATATAAAAGATTTCAAACATTGTTTATATTTTACCACAATCAACATGCTGAAAATCTATATTCAATATTATTATTATTATTTTAAATATATATATATATATATACACGTATATACATATATAATTGGTGAAAAAAATATTTTAAAAAATAAAAAATAATTTTATCTTTTAGTTGGATTGGAGGGTTGAATATCTTTGGGCCCATTATCATTGCGTCGGTTGTGTGGAGAAGAAAATAAAGGAATCAGGAAACATGAAATGGGGCCCAAAATCTTAGTTGATTAGGAATGTAATCAATTGGGCTTCTTTAACAAAAGCATTTATTGTCGAATTATTTTCTATCCTATTTTATTTATTTATTATTTTGATCCGTTGCGATTTGATGGTTTTTAATACGAGACATCGAGATTTATTGTTTTTGGACAATTCATCATCTCGTGATTCGTACGCTAATCAAATTTTTTTTTTTTACCTTTGTAATTTCGTAACTGTTGTTAAAAAATAAACTATAGTATCTTAAAATTAAAAAAAATATTAAATCAAAAAAAAGATCGAACTGAAACCTGTTGTAAAAAAGTATTGGCTCGTATATAATTTATAAGTATATTTGATCGTAAGATCTGTATAGTACGGATATATTTTTATTATCATTAAATTTACAATATCTTAAATTGAAAAACATTAAATTAAAAAAAGGTCAAACTGAAACATGTTGTAAAAAGTTATTGGCTCGTATATAATTTATAAGTATCTTTAATCATAAGATTTGTATAGTACGGATATGTTTTTATTATTATTAAATTTATATATGTCAATAATATAAGGTATGATCTCATTCAATACTAATGTAATAGACATTGCGGTAAGTATTGGATAAACAAAATTTCGACCTAATCGATAATACAAATACTCTTGTTCAAGAAATATTAAAATGACGCATTAATAAAAAAATATTATTAGATAATTAATACGTTAATAATATCAAACGATGGTATTATTTAGTAATCTCGTAAAATAATACAATTTAAACTATTTATTTTCGTCTGTATACATTATATAAGAGATGAATGAATCGGAAAATTCCGACAAATGTTTTAAGAAAAATGTCACCCCTAATAAACCCTTGTTTAAGATTTTATTTTCTTCTGCAAGATCAAAAGTAATAACTTGAGATAAAAAAAAAAAGGAGTTCATCAAAAGAAATTTTACCATCATTTCTATTGTATGTTCTAACTTTATAGTTATACATTAGAGTGGAAAGATCTCAAAGATCTTAAAAGTCGAACAGTATCCAGTGTACAAACTTTTTTTTTTTTTACCAGAGGATTGGAAGTTCCCATATTACTAATATTGTTCATCTCCACTTTTAAAAAAATTTTTTTTTTTGGGTTGAAAAAATGAAATTACCAATCAATTTCATACCCACTCATGGTCTCATCCACCCACTAACTACTCTTTGCTGTTGCTTAACTTCCTTTCTCAAAAACACCAATGAAAATTGAGAAAGTTAATCATACTGCTGTTATTTTTAGTGGATGTTAAGGTTGTCAATTTCATTATTCCTCAAACTTTATCAATGGAGTCTCCTGGTATAATCAGCTTCTACCCAAAATTCTGTACTGAAGAACCCCCACTCCACCTACTCTCTTCTCTTTTTTACCACCAGACAGACCCTTAACTATTGCGACCTGCCCCGGAGACCCAAGTGAATATGTCCTTGTTCTTAATCAATATTATAACCCAAACAGCATCATCACCTACCACTCTCATCTCCCCACTCTTCCTCTCTGCTTCCTTTGACTTTTCACTTCCTTCTTCTTCACCTTCTATTCTGCATCCCGCATAGGCTTCGTTGTAGAGTTTTCCACATTGGATTCCAGAATCGAGTTGCTTCTCTTCCGTACGCGTTGGTTTTTAGTTTTTTGTTTTTTACTGGATTTTTTTGTTTCTTCATCTGGGTTCTTTTCAATTTTTGTACTTTTTATCTCTATACGTTGCCATTACAGAGTCTTTGTTGATAGCCGGGTCTCGATAATGTAGGGTTCTCTGTTGTTTCATTTTGGTATTTGTTGCTCTCTACTTGGTGTTTAGGTGCTTCTTCTTCTTGTTAGTTCTTTTGGGTAGTAACAATTTCTGACATGATTTTGTTACAATAGTGGAAATAATGGTTTTGTTTTTCTCCATTGTTGATCTGCTAGGATATTAATTATGATTATTTGATTCTCAGTCCTGTCTTTTGACCCGTCTGTGTTAATTGCGATACATTTTGTACTTTCAAGACTTTCTTAGTGCATTTTTTCCCAATTATTCTGTTCCGGTGTCATATATTCTATCTGTGTGTCTAGATTTGGAGCGCTGGAAATTTGTTTGAAGTCATGCAGGCAATGTGTTTGATATTGTTAGCTTTTGTAGTTAATGTATTAGGACAATCTGATTTTGAAGCTCTTTTGGTGCTCAAAAATGGAATTGAGGAGGACCCATCTGGGAAAACTCTTATTTCATGGGATTCTAATTCTTTATCATCTGATGGGTGTCCTAGAAACTGGTTTGGAGTCACTTGTATCGATGGTCGTGTGACTTCAATTAATCTAAATGCTTTAGGTCTGGTTGGAAACTTTAGTTTCCCTGTCATAGTTGGCCTTAGCATGCTCCAAAATTTGTCAGTTTCTGGCAATTCTTTGACGGGGACTATCTTGCAAATTGGTTCCTTTCAGTCTCTTAGGTTTTTGGATCTCTCTTGCAATATGTTTCATGGGTCAATGCCATCTAACATTGGGGAGTTAAAGAATCTGGTTCTTTTAAATCTCTCTTCAAACAATTTTGAAGGCAATGTTCCATCTGGTTTCAGCAATCTTGGGCAGTTGAAGTACTTAGATTTGCAGGGTAATGGTTTCTCTGGAGATGTTATGAATCTTCTGTCCCAGTTGGCTAGTGTGGAGCATGTCAACCTGGGAAACAACCAATTCTCTGGTTCTCTTGATTTGGGACTGGGAAAGTCAAATTTCATTTCCTCAATAAAACATTTGAATGTAAGCCACAATTCCATTGTCGGAGAGCTCTTTGCTCATGATGGAATGCCATATTTTGACAATTTAGAGGTGTTTGATGCTAGCAACAACAAATTGGTGGGCACTATTCCATCCTTCAGTTTAGTGGTATCTCTTCGCATTCTTCGGCTCGGAGGCAATCAGTTATCAGGATCTTTACCGACACTCTTACTAGAAGAAAGCTCAATGATGCTGTCCGAACTGGATCTTAGCTTTAATCAGCTTAGAGGTACTATTAGTTGCATGGTTAGATTATGCTTGTTATCTAGTTTGCTTGTGCAAAATGAAAAATAAATGGTACCTTATAGCGTTTGTTCTTTGATCGGGTGAGGTACACTTGCTAGAATAGATTGCTTGAAGAAATAGTAAATGATATTTATGGGGAACCTATGACAAGAATGGGAAAACTGAGGATAGGAACTTAAACTACATATGAAAGTGACTTACTATATATATGGAAAATACCCTATTAGTCTCTAACAAACTATATGAGAAGTATTCTCATATAGTGGATTTAAAAAATTAAATAAACAAGTGTGCTTGATAAATTCCATGAATTACTTGCTATGCAATTGACGAGTTTCACGAACCACCACCTCTAAATGTGCTCAACCAACAACTTGCAATGAGTTAACTAACAAAGACCATTACAAGCTTAAACAATATCAAAAGCTCAACTAGGTATCAACTTTTAGTTAACCAAACTGCTATTTGTGGCACCAGTTTGTCAACAACTTCCAGAGAACTTCTTATGGACTTTCTTTTTTCTCTTAGTAAGGTAACTAGGCTTTGCTCTCCTAAGCAACAAGCTATAAAGGTTCAACGACGAGTCCTCCCTCCTCCTCTGTAACAAGCTTTAAGGATTTAAAAAATTTTCAATGACAATTTTCACTTCCCCAAGGAACAAATTCTAAGAATTTACAACTATTACTTTCTTTTTCTCGGAGCAACTAGCCCTGATGTATGGCATTCTTTGCTAGATCAGGGTATAATTTTGATAAAACTAATTCTGGAAACAGAAAAACTGCACTGAGAAGTACCAGTTTTAGAGGAATAACAACTGGCTTGAAAGGGAAAGAACTGGTCAACGAACTGGTCAAACTTATCTGAATTGATCAAACAGAATAGAGTCAATCAAAACAGATTTAAGATTCCTGTGGTGGCCGGATGTGACTCATGCAATGGTGTCCAGTCACTTACGATGGTTGAGCTTCCAGCTATGCAATCCTATGGCAGTTGCAGATCAGAGTTGCACAATTCCGTTGCTGGACGGTTGCAGATTGGTGAAGGCAATGCAAACTCAGGATCCATGGTGGCAGCGAGCGGTTTTCAAAAAGAGATAGCAGCTAAGGCTTATGTGTATAAATATTTCAGTTTTTCTTCTAGCAAGAGCTAAGATCGAAAGGAGAAGATTAGAGAAGAGGAAACGTTGGAGTTGCTCCCCCTGCTTTTTGAATGTTTTAAAAACAAAGGGAGAGTTTCTAAACCTAGGACTATTGATATGACAAAACACTGGAAGTACAAACTGAAATATTAGTATGGTATTGCTCTTGTTATTATGTTGTAGAAACAGTATACTGTAAGAACTAATAAGGATAAGGAACTTAGTTATACGGGAAACTAACTCGACAGGAAAAGACAGTTATAAAAAAAAATATGGGAAAAGACTGAGAAATACTCTATCATTCTTCATTAGACTAAATTAGAAATATTACAATTATCTAACATCTTTTATTTTTCTGTATTTCAGAGTTTTGAGAAGTGCATGATTTACTCCTTGTGTGTTATATCAGTAGTGACACTATAATTCATGGGGCATCAAACTGGAAGTCTCCTTGCAGTCAATAAGAGA